CTCCCCAATTTCCAGTAGTTCCCTAACTGATCAATCAAATGAACCGATCAAATCCCTACAAACTAACACTTGAAGTCGTCATCATTATGAAGGTTATCAAACGTCTTATGATAATCCGTATATAAGTTGATCCACAACAAGGCTCCTTTACATCTTCTAATCAAAGTGACACACGAGCCTTTTGATCTATCCTTAGTACTACGAGCTTGCTATCGAATCTCGGACCCATTAATTCACTGCAGTCATAAGTTTAAAAGTGCTGCGATGTACAAACTGTTCTTTGTACCAGTTACATTGACCAACTGTCAAAGGGAATAAAATGTACTTGCTCATACCATATTAGTTTGTTTATTAGATACATCACACACAGTCAGTGAGACAGTATTATTTACTGGATGACAAAGTTTCAAACACAATTCATCACTGTTCATAATCATATCAATTATAATCACACGACTTCGAAACTTGAGTTTTATAGTTTTCTTTGTTCTCTCCTATTTGTCGTCGTTGGGGTAGTAGAATTTTCCAGATATCTGGGTGGACAGGTGTTGAATCATTCCAGTTACACGTGTTTGCAGTTGATTCGATAAACAAAGCTTCTGTTATCAATCTCTCCCTTCACCCTGTGACATTAGATTTTAAAACTGTCATCTTATCCCATCCCATCCTATTGTATGCATAGTTGTGTGTAATTGCATGTAGTGAGTGGTATAGCTGAACTATTCTCTAGATTTCTTATCTTATTCGGGTCAACTAATCTAGATTTTGCTAGGTTTTTATGCTCGGCTAGTCTGACTGCCCCTGTTCTACTGTGTGACACATCTAATAAACAAACTAATATGGAATTACTTACTACCATAGTTTTACACATATATTAGTACTTGCTCATATCATATCACATAAATAATTGCAGAAATTAATCAGATCAACGGGAACAATGTGGAAATTTTAGATGGAACACAGACAAAGCCAGAGAATTCCTGCAGGCCTAATACTCATATAAATTTGTAATTAATAGATATGTGGATACAGATCAAATTCGCCAATCAAGAAAGAATAAGTCCAAGTACCGAATGGTCGAATATGAGGTCAGCAGATGGGATCAGTATTAGGACAAATGAATACAAGCATTAAAAATCTATGGATGACAATCAGACACAGATAAGGTCACTAGGATAGACAGACACCTCTTAGAGAAATCCTAAAAATCCATTCCACATTGAATTTATTGCTGAAGATGTGTTCTCCAAAACGATGCCAAAAGCTTCCTAGTGAAACTCTCCAGCTCAGATGATACAACATGAGCTACAATTATTCAACATTCTTTGTATTCATGAGAAGAAATCCAATAACTTTGCATTTAAGTTACGCAGTGCATTATACAACCAAAACCATCAATACAAGTTTGTGTAGAACACTATGGAAAATGATATTGAACTAAGGCATATATAATGTAAATAGTTTAGGATTACGTCAATACGCCATCGTCTAGTTCATTGGTAGTGTTCATAAACAAGTGACATGTAAATTAGGGCATGTGACACACAGGCAAACAAAACGATATTGTTCTCACGCACATTTCTCTAATAGCTTTATCAAGGAGGCAACAATGCAACAGAATTTACCAAATCTCAGCTTGTATACGTCATAATTTAGTCGCAGTTCTTCAGCGTAAGGTAACTTTCACGTCGACAGGTAGAAGATAACAAACTATGTACACATTGTTGCGGTTAACAAATTTATGAATTCTAAAAACAGTATGTGTTTACATAATGGAATTGCTTATTACACTTGTATTGGTTTTATCGCTCCACTGGGGGAAGGGTGTTGAAGTCAGGTCAAATTTTGTCTTAATCCGTCATTTCTATTCAGATAAATTGGATTCCATTTACCGTGAAGTGTTTCTGATTTATGACGGTCTTTGTGATTTCTGGCCAAAATCAATTTTAAGGCCTGATTTAATAGTTTGTAGGCCTATTGCCGACGACATTTTTAAAGCTTTTCTGGTTCCGTTGGATTTCTCTGTGGTCGAATAGAGGCTCTGTGGTGTTTATGCCTTCTGTCCCCAATTTTACTTTTTGAATTTTCGCCAATTCTATAGTATCAAAAGACTGATCAGCGATGAACAAAGTATATTCTTCCTGACAGCTTCGTCATGAAGTTCTGCAGCTATGTATCCATAGTTTTTAAAAAGTAGTTGACACTGAGAATATTAAATTTTTTTATAATCTTACATCAAATCAATAGAATCAGTCGATTACAGTTTGACTGCTTTTTGCAGCTAATTACGTAGGATGCAGAACTAGGCGTGTTTCTGGTCTTCATCCTAGTTGGTTAGGCAAAGGATAAACAAGGTCTATTCGTAGCTCTGGTTTACCTCCCCTTGTAGACATTGAATATAAAGTTGATATCGACAAAGCATTTGACTGTAGGTTTCTACCGTACTTCAACTATTCTTAAATTTGCCGTACAAGTTCGTCTCCTACACCTGGAAAAGCCTAACTTACCTGTTCAGAAGAAACTCGTTCAGAAGCTTACTCTACTTTGGTCATTATTACTTGATTGCAAAAAAACCTGAAAATGTCTCCTTCCCCTAATCTTGCGAACTGTAATCAATTTTAAAAAAAAACATCAGCTTTATCACTAACAATTAATCTTTAAACATTAAGTGTACATATAAATGTATAACCGTATGAGGAAGTTATCGGAAAGAATATTCTCTGCTTAACCATTTTTTTCCTCTAAAAGTCTAATTTCCATATTCAGGGCGTTCTTATTAATTGTCAAAGTTCTCTTAGATATTTGGTGTGATACTTCCTTTTTTGTCAAAAGTGTGACTGATAATATCATGTCTACATTTTATGAAATTACGCTTAATTGTGAGGCGAAATCAAATATATTTACATTTGATTTTAGACTTATAATTTCGTCCCAGTTTGGAACTCTTCAGTAGTAATCACTGATCGGGTTTCAAGACGAGCTTGTAGACCATTCAGTCACTGGGAACCAATCCTATGACCTATGAGTCCTAACTTCCACTTGGATTCGAACCCTGATGGGTGAGTACAACTGAAGTCTAGGATGAAACAGCTGTCCAGTACTCCCTAGTTACCTAGTGGTCCTCAAATTATCCTTCTCTCATGACTAATTCTGCAACCAATCAAACCCCTGCAAATTAACATTCGAAAAGTTATTTTTCCTTATAAATTGACAATGTGAAACACTGTGTGCTAAGTTAAACTATAGAGATCCATAGAGTGCGGACACACGACTGACCTTGAGCCTACCAATCAGAAAAACCATTGGTTTTTACATAAAACTGACGTTTATTTACAACAGAAATATAGCGAATTATAAGAATACACATTAAACAGGATATTTTCCGTGATGTGACTTAAAACTTTCTCCCAATTGTAATGAGTTCCTTTTGTGACCCACTTATCGCTCTTATCCTGGTTTTCAGTCTTCCCCGAAAGCCCTCCAGTGAATTAGTATGGGCTCTGGTATGGGGATCGACGAATATTTGCTAGAAAAATGCAGATGACGACCCCATAGCTAACCGTATTCACAACTCTAACTCTGATCATAACCTTAAACCTAATCGTAACCCTAACCGTGAACGTAACCCCAACGGTCTATCAACTCATTATCCAAACAGTACTTAAAAACGAGGCTGGGATGTAATTTGCACTTCATTTCCTTCATATTGGCGCTATAATAATTGCACCCAACGACTAGTATGCGTTCAAGGTCATTGGTGCGTTTGCATACTTGGATCGTAATACTTTAAATTGACCACATTATGGACTTTAAAGGAATTGGGAGTTGAAATTCGCATAAATGTTCAAAACATTGATGTTAACTAGCAGTAGATTACTGGATACGTATTTTATCCTATTTGTAACTCATCAGCTGGATGTACCCCGGTGGTTGATGGTATTCCCACCAGGACTCGAACCTTGTACATACTTTTTCAAATTATTATGTTCTAGACCAATATGTCTAAAATAAACGATCAATGGGAAGTGCATAACAACAAAACAACAACATTTCTAGCAGACATGTCAATGTTTTTTAAGTTAAAAAATACTTTTTTTTCAAAACTATTCATCTGTGTTATACAGACTATAAAGTAATGCTTATTCTTTGTGTCAGTATACATGTACACTGAAACAGAATAAAATTTTGCACTGATTGAAACCATTGAGACAGCAGCAGATTTTTTAAAGAAAAGACAAAAATGAAAACGTCTGTTTTGATTGAACACTAGTCAGTAACTAGTGTCATGTGTCTAGTCTTTTCTTTGTTTCAGAATGAATTCGATCAGTCAAGTTTGCAGTGTGGCTGCCATTCTAGGTAGCTGGCCATCACAGTGAACATTGATTTGATGATATTAAATGGTTGGAGCCAATCGGCAAGAAACCTTGCTTGACTCAGGTTTCGTCCTAGTTAGAACTCACCAGTCAGCAAGGCGTATCTGCAACCTTGAAGGTACTCATGTCCCTTTTGAGATTCGAATTCGGGTCACTCAGTGCTCCCTGCAGTCATCAGTAGATAATGCTGTATCAATTTGTACTTTCATCAAATGAACTGATTCTATAATGGAATTGTACTCTACCAAATAGTGCGCCAGTTGTTTAGTGGCAGAATCGTTACCAAGAAAGAACGTGATGTGTGTTCGATCCCGTCGAATGCTCTGATAAACCACGTTAACCGATAGTAGGTCCGGTAAAAAGGAGTGGTCTGGCCTGTGGCTAGCAACCTCACCTCGTAAAAATAACACTACTCTTCCTAAAACTTCAAATTTCAAGCTTGAAGCCCCATATTCTTCCACTTACTACGCACAAGAATGAGAAAAACTACACAGTGTTCAAGTTCTTTATTCTTATGTCAGTTTTATTGAATATATAAATGATGTAGTTTATTTAGCGGCGTTTATTTTAAATGCATAATCATTCAGCTTTTACTCTTAGTTCTCATCTTTTTTTGTAACATTCCAGATGTGATGTTTGAAAAGTGCTCAGATCACAATAATCTTAATAAGATCTTACTGCATATCTATCATGGTTATACATACAATGAAAAGCAAACTGCTTGACAAGTCATTTAAGCCAATCACATTCATTATGTGAACCAGTTCATCACAATTCATCTTTTATTGATCAACTCTGTAACCAAAACTAAAAAAGTAAAGCGAAAAGGACAAGATATTCATAAACCACTCAAAAGGGATCAGTACACACCTACTTTGTTTCTAAAACGAAAAAAATAAAAGAAATCATGAATCATAATTTCAATCTTTATTAAATGAATAAAGGATTTACTCGTAAACGTTCAAGATATCATAGTCATAAGATTGACAAATTTCTTCTACAAGAATATGAACATCGTAAAAAAGAAATTCAACTGCTTTTAGTCGGTGAGTTGATGAATTTTCTTTGTGTGTGTGTGTTTCTGCATGAATGTATGCTGGTTTTTGTTTGAGTTCACTTTAATATTTGTTTCTTGCAGCGTCGGGAGTAAGCTATCCTGTTTTTATTAGGGAGAGGAAGTGAGACAGTACGGGGGTCTAACGATAACCAGTACTGAGCTGCCTGGGATGTAACTGTTACTCATCCACAGCCATTATGCCATCATTTACGATAAGACAGAACACTTGCATCACGACACTACCATTAAAGTCAGCTTGGGCATCTTAACGACCGACTTCCAGCCTTCGAAATCTTCACTAATTAAGAAAGATTTGCTACAAATACACATCACTGTTAAGCTATATAACAAATGACTTCTCTTCGTGACGGAAACGAGTTATGGGTAAAGATATACAGCTACTGTAGGATGACTCCATTATGGATAAGATTTTATTTTGATAAGTCATACAGTATTACATAGTAATATTAACTGATGGCGTTTCGAGCACAAATTATTGCTCATAACCACAACATTCTAACAAGTTACTTATTTTGACTATAAAAAAACTCGTCTTATTTCCCATCTGATTGTACTTGATCAATAACACTCATATTATTATTTCTGAATGTACATTATCACATATTGAATTTTATTCAAATATCTGGTCAATTCCACATATGTATATAAATGAAGGAAAAAGTTGTGTGAGTACCTTGATATGATCATGAGCAATAGTTTGTGCTCGAAATGTTGTCATCACTTAATATTACTGTGTAACACTGTGTAAGATGTTATCAAATTAAAATCTTATCCATAAAATGGAGTTATACTCTACCACAGTCACCAAGTTTTATACTTATATCAATAATACTGTAGAATGACTAGTCATCAGTGCGTCTATTACCTGTAAGGATGGCGATACTCAAAGTGAGCTTTATAATGACCAAATCCCAAGCATTTCGGCCTGAACTAGTGAAATGAATCAATGTGCTTATCTGTTCTATAGACTGCCAAACCACCTTGAGTACTTCTTTATCCCCTTACCTTCGAAATGGAACATAGGGCTTCAAATTTGAGCTTTGAAGTTTCAGCATCAGAGGTGTTTTTTTAACGAGATGTATTCACTAGTCTCACGCCTAACCTTACTACGAACTGGGCGAGGTTTACAACTCTATCATCCGGCAATCGAATGTAGCGCACAATAAAATTATTTAACTAAAACACAACAGTAGGGGACTGCCTGAGAATCAATAAGACTATTCCGAACTAGGTGGGATCAAAACTGAAATCGAAGGTTAATTTGCAATGTACTACCAGCTCATCCAAGTATTTGCCTAGCTAGAATTCGGGTGGTTCAACCTGATTCGTCTCTCTCATCTGATTCAGACAGGGTACAACAGGAATGAGCTCGTCTCCAGACAAGCGAAACGACCTTCCAGTGTCTAGGTCACTTCGATATGGCTAACAAGCGCTACTGGCTGATGTGAGTGCTATCCAACTCATAATTTTTTTGATAATAATAATAATGCCTTTATTCCGGACAGTGTTTGTATAATTTACAGAATTTTCAGCGGTATTTATTATATGACATCTCGCTTTTCGTTCAGGATCTTCAGGTAAAACAGTAATTGACAGTAGGTCGCTTGACACAGTGTTCTATAACCTAAAGTGCAAACCAACCCCTTATGATATTTCTTCTTTGTCTCCTTCGGGAATCGCATGACATGCAGGAGTACATTTTGAGGTCCAAAGGAAATAACTGGATGACAAAAGACTTCAGGTAGTTACTTTTTATTTCTCTGTCATTAAAAATCTCAGGAACATTTATCTAATGTGTTGGGTGGGCTACGCTGCCATCCACGATTACTCTTTTTCTCAGGTTTATTAGAAACCTGCGAATTAGGTGGTTAGGATGCTCGCCGACCGTGCACATGGTCCGGGGTTCGATCCCCGGCCGACGTACTCCTTTACCTCGCTAAGCCAGAAATATAGCTGGTAAAGGAGAAAAGTTGGGCATGAGGCTAGCAACCTCACCCTGTAAAAATAAACACTACTACAGAAACTTCAAGCCTCTAGCTTGAAGCCCTATGTTCCACTAGGAACATGAAGGAATAAAATAAATGAGAAACTTGCGAATTAGGAGGTTGTAAACACTTTTAATACTCATGAGAGTAAACAAATACCATTGGTGGTCATATTTTTATAGATTAAAACAAAATATAGTAGGGAAATTATATGCAGTATAATGATGGTGGTTTTTGGCAGGCCAAGTTTCAAGCAGGACGTCGTAGTAGTAATTTGTAGCGTGATACATCAAAACTCCGTCTACAAGAATCAAGCAGAATAAAACATGTTTCCCGCAGACAGTCGAACGTCAGGTAGTCGTTTCACGGCGTAACCTTCAATTAGTTCAAACGAAATTGTAAAACAACACAGTCCACCATCACACAACAGCAAAGAGAAACACTAAAAGTAGGAATGAATCAAAGGCAGAGGGATATAGTAAGGATTAATTTAAAAGAAGATAAACAGATGTTAGCATGATGATATGCAGATCAGCGGAAATATTCAAATAAATATCAGTGGTATAAGGAGACTATTCACAGAAGAAGGATTCTCAGATCGTTTCTTCTGATACAAACGTTTCATCTGTATTTGCCATGTAGACAAAGACAGTGACAGCGTCAATCAATCACTGAGCGTGTGATTTGCTTTACATTAAACGACGTGAAATAGAATGTTCATATATACATAGTATTCTGTTGCTCAAGCAGTATTGAACTGTGGGAATATGTGAGAATCATATTCCGTTGGCACGCATTGTCTGTATCACACCACCACACTCGTCATCCCATCAAAAACATTCGACCGAAGTCTGTTCGATCTTCTTGGTGCTGGCGGGTTTGTTAGATTGTCTTGCTGTATCGAGTTCCGGAGCTCGCTGACGTTCACCCGCTTCTCTTTGTTTGCATTTCCGATCGTATATACGTGACCTCGTCTCACGGTGACCATGTATGGTCCTTCCCACTTTGGGAGCAGTTTGCATGACCCTGGTTCGTGTTCACCGGTGTTTCGCCTCACCTATCATATGCTACCGTTGTTCCACCTCCCAGCAGCGTTTCAAGTAACAGCCTCATCGCTGACGGATCTTGAACGACATTCAACTGAGCAACAGCCTCGAAGTCCTGCCAGAAGATCTATATGTCTCCTTCAAAAACTGAAGGGCATAGGCTTTTCATTTGTTGGCAGGCAGCGACACCAAATGTAACAACATAAGGCAAAATACGGAAGCCAAGGTATATTTTTCAACAGGAGTCCTCATTAAGATAAACACTTCTTGTGGACCTCTAATTCATAGATCGATGTTTTTTACAAACTCCATAATAAAATATAGTGATAACCAGGAAAAATGCAGCTAAATGCAAAGAACCTCTCAGAAGATTTCATTGATAATACTGTCACACCATAAACGTATACGATGTTTTCTTGAATAAGCTTCGCATTTTTGGCGCATGCAGTATCTTTTCGCTTTGAGATTATCGCAATGAATGTTGCTCAACTGTTAAAAGAGAGGGGTCTTGACTAAAAGAAGGATGAAATCAAACTAAATAGATCAAACTTAGGTATTTAGTTGTATATTCTGACACAGTACAACTCTTCATGGGCGTAAAAATAATTTAAAAAGAAGGAAACGGAATAAAGTTAATGGAAGTATAGATGCAATTTCATGGGACTAAATAATATTGATATATTGACATGAGTAGTTTACCGCCATACCGAAAACCGGACGATCGTTTCTATTGTTTGACACCAAGCTTATCAGTGGCGTATCTGGTTTGCTTAAATCAACTCAGACAAATAAATCAGTTCAAACTACCTGATTTCTGACCAGGTACTTGGGCGAACTGGTTATACCATAAATCATACTTGCAATTTAGACAAATCGAGTTGAAATTTCATCACGCTTTCTATTTTTTTTTTTTATTTTGATTATAGCTTGATTCCACACGGTATTTTGGTACTAGAATGGAATTTTCAGCATATGATATCGGTAGCCCAAATTTAGCAGGTCGACTATTGATATCAGGCGTGCGTCGGCCGGGGATCGGACGTCGGACCATATACATGGTCGGCGAGTGTCCTAACCGCTGTGCCACCGACGCACGTTTGATTGAAACTTCTGAAGATTAAGATGATAGAATAAAGAGAAGATGGATAAATCTGTTTTGTACACACACAATCCTCCCTCTGTCGGTATGATTGATACATAACTTAGAGAAAATCTTTTTTGGGCATACATAGTGACGAAAAGCATTTGCGAAAGGCAACTGCAGACTTTTATCAACAGCTGTCTCCTTCTCTGGCTCCATACTGAAGATCAAATAGCCAGCCAGAAACATTTAGCAACAAGAAACTATGGGAACAGGATAACCAAGAACCTATAGCCCAATAAATATGTAGGGGAAAACAGAGATGGATTGGTCACAGGCTAAGATGAACGTCGAAGGACATCGCGAGCAATGCAGGCAACAAGCGGATCATCCAAGAGTGACAAGGAGGGGATCACATGAGGATGGGATGAGAAAATATGGGCAGTCGTGGAGCCTGATGAACAGGACTTTAGAGAACAGGAAAAAGTGGAGATGTTCTGTTGAAGCCTCATATCCTACCAGGAACCCAAGGAACAACACTGATAATATAGTGTCGAATAAGTATTTAGTTATCACTTTTCGAGTAAATAGACCATTTTAAGCATACAGGCATAGAGGACTTGTTTCGATTCCTCTCTCTCTGTTGCACCTTCATTTAATTCCCTCTCAACTTAATATCAGTCAACTCTTTAGATATCCAGTTCTGTTTTTTGAGTTATGCTTGCCTGTCAGCCTGATTCTCTCTCCTCATCTCTTTTTTCTTACATCCTAATCACACTACTTGACAGTAGTTGAGTTTGACAGAAATTTCAGTTTGTTTATTTCCCTGCATTTGAATGCCAATCAGATCTT